CCATTGACCTTGCATGTAAACTCGCTGCTTCTGCTGCGCCTGCTGCGCCCGGTGTGAAAGCAGCATAAGTCTTCTAAGGAGTCGATCTAATGATGCTGCTCCTTACAGCTGTGGAGCATACTTTGCAACGTCTGATGTAAACTTCCGCTTACACACAAGCCATGGCGCTCACGTCATGAGCCCTGCGTATTTACAGCTTTTTCCATGTGCGTACCCTCACAGGGAAAAACAAAGGGTTCTGAATGAGCTTCATTTTAATTTTCTTTTTCTCCTAAAATGATTAAACATGAATTTAAAGACCACATGTTTAAACATGATGCCAGTCATTGTTACTGCTAATCCACCTCAGTTAACGCGTACTTTAAATCTGCAGGAGTGAGTGGGATGGGATTGATTCTGTTGTGTAACAGTCTAGAAATACAGCAGCGGGGAGAGTTTGAGCAGCAACAGGATAAGCTGGTAAAAGTACAACCTGGACTGGCAGCACGAGGCGCGACAAGAGAAGAAGAGCTTCCAGGTGAGACACTGCTGATGTCTCTGACCTCAGGGTCACAGCAGTAAGACTATTAGGTGGTTAATGATAGCTTATCATGGGTGCTGGTTAAAGCCTTGCAGCTCTAATGTGACAGCGGAGCTATGATACTGTGCGTTATCTTTTCCCGTCTAAAAGTCTGGACTCGCTATGTCAAGAATATATCCATGATAATAGATGCTGCACAGTTCATTACATTCTACTAATCTAGCTCTAGAAACTCCACTGGGATGTTTGCATGCAATGCTGTAAAGATACTGTTCGGGTACGGTAAACCTCCACAACTACCTCGATACTTCAGGCAGGGACTAAAATAGTCGTCAGCTGAAATGTTGGTTACTTGGTTTTTCCTTCAGTCCGTCTGTGAAAACACAAGATTAATGACGATGGGAAACATCGGCTCTCAGTTCCTGTTTCATGTCAACTGACACAACAAAGAGCAGCTTGGTTTCTTTGCTTTGGCACCGGTTTTGACCCAATGTCAAAAGAAAGGACGCGGCCAGCTTCGATTCTCTGCAGGCCGCAGCGCTACCAGTATCCTGCACAGTCAGCAATCTCCTCCAGCAGCAGGGATAAACACACAGACCAAAATAAAAAAAAAAAGCTTCCTGGTACAGTGAGCTAAACAAAAAACATGCTTCGCTCCTCTGAGTTATTATGAATTATGGGAAATGCAGGCAAGAGGTTTGATACGACGAGTCAACAAAGCAACTCTGGGAAAGTAAAGTGGTGTTGATTTTAGAAGCAGTTATTCATCTGAGAACAGTCAGTTTGGTCAAACGTTTCTCAAAAAATAAATCTGGTCCTATTTCCACAACCTGAGAAATCTGTCCTGAGCCCCAGGCTGTTTTAGGTAACCAAACTCTGACTCTAAGACTCAGGGATTAACAGATGATAATCCAGAACTCGGATGCTCTTGTTTTCACCTTGCTGTCAGTGTGAAGCTCAAAGGTGGGCATTGAGGACGGAAAGGCTGTTAAAAAGGCTTTTAGTGTGAAAAATTCACGACTCGTCTGTAATTGATGCATCTCTAGTATTTTCTGTTATTGCGATGCTCATTTTTTTATCTCATCTCATCTCAGGAAATTTTACAGAAACAATACTGTATGACTGGTTAGAAAAACCACTGGATTGCATCCAGATATTGACATTTCTAGCATTTTCTATGGATTATTAGAGCAGTCAGTAAAGTAGGTAAATCGATCTCAGGGATGGTCTGATCTCTGCTGCTTTGTTTTAAGTCAAACTTATCATTTCCAAACATTAACATTCAGATCAATAAGGCTCACCTGTCTGTGATTATAGCCCTGCAGTAGGAGGAAGTAAGGGAAGTCAAAGGGTGGATGGATGGAGTACTGGGTGGTGTTGTCGTCACTGCTCTCCGTCTCTTCCTTCTCCATGCCGAGCCGCAGCACCTCCTTGTCAGCCTCGGCCTCTGGGTCCTCTCTGAGCGCGCCCTGTTGGGCTCGGTTGGCCTCTTTTTCCATCGCAGACAGGTCCATTTCGCTCAGGCTCCTCCAGAAGCCAAGGCCTTCAGCTTCCTCCCCGCCGCTGTCCACGAACAGGGAAGTCACTCTGGACCGGTTCTTTTGCAGTTTACGAGCTTGAGCATTGATCCCTGACGTGACAGAGAGGCATCTTGTTACTTTTCTTTCTAAAATACTTACGTTTTTGTGTCAAAATAAACAAGTTAGCTTTTGATTATAATCGCCACGTTTGCAGATCCCTTTTATTCTGTCTTGCAGCTGTGCAGATATTTTAGTCTAAGCTTCCATCTTTTAAAACTAATGTTGCAGAGATTCCCTCAGTTATATAAAGTGTTTACACAAATTTGTATACTTTGAACCTTTTTGCATGTTCAAACAAACATTTTGACAATACCATCTGGAGAGGTTTGCCTTAAATGGTATTTAGCCCGCTACTTTGCAGAACCTCTTTGAGTTACAGTAGGAAGTCATTTGCTTTATGATTCTACCAGCTTTTAACTCCAACTGACACCTGCTGATGTTTATCTATTTATAGAAAAGGCCAAAAGACAGTCACATGGTGTTTCATCCACACTCCTTTCAAATGGGGCTTTAAAATTTCTAACACATGTTTCAAAATGATTTTTTCACAAGTAATTTTTGTTTTATAGCTGTGTAAACAAATAAAATGATATTTAAATTTCCACTCCACCTTTCCAAGTAGGGGTTGGAGGTAATTGTGCGTCTGTTTTAGGTGATGTAACCATAAGCTTGCTCTGTTATTCTTATTTTCGATTCCGTTTGGTGTTATTAGTGGTAAATTTCATTGAAACAAAGGTTTTATCTCAGCAGCAAAGGCTTTTTCTTAAGCAGAAGGTCTCTAATCGTGTAAATCAGCATATTTGTCTGGCCAGATTCCCTTTTTTTTTGTGGAAAAATGCATTTTTGCACTTTTGGCATTGTGCCAAAATCCCATTTCCGCCTAGTTAACTGCCCACTAAAACCTTTGTGGATCAAACATGCTTCAACCTGTTCAGTCCGAATTAGCTTGACTTATAGTCAAGATGTGGATCTATAAAGTCTGAGGGTTCATCCAAAGTTTCAAATGAGGTTTTGTTGTGTTTTCCGGCATCTATTTTGGAAAAAAAATTGGCAAGGCAAAATATTTTTCTTTTTTTTTTTTTTGATCACCTATAAATCAGACTTGGTGACATCAATGCTGTTCTGTCATAAAAATACAAACAATTGTATTTCCAATTTATACTATGGGAGTAGTTTGTACTTGCTTTAATTCACATATATAATTTTTAGGCGGAATTTGCTCCATAGACCCTCTGGGCTTAAGGGGAATACAGATGGAAATTTCTCCTTATTTCTCTTTGCAATAATCTCCTTTCTAGTTACATTAGATGGAGAGAATCTGTCAACATTAATATCTTGCCAAAGGATTCTCAATTGGTCTTAAATCTGGACCTTGACTGGGCCACTCTATATATCCCTAATCCAAACTTTTTATACCTTGTTAATTTCAACATTCGGCCATGTTGTTACTAAATGATACATAATACTTTTTTAACACAAAACCAGAAACGTTTTTAAATATCCTTAGATTGAGAGATCAATAATGCAGAAACACTCTGCTTAACTTTAGCTGCAGATACTTTTGGGTATTTATCGATCAGCTTTGCAGAAATAGAGACTGAAAGCGTTGGTGAATGCCGTACCTAAAGCTCAGTCAAATCAGAATGAGAGCATCTGTGAATAATAAAAATAAACATTTTAACTACCAAAGACTTAAAAAAACTATATTTTTTATCTCACCACTGTTTCCTTTTTTCAGTTTAGCAGAGAAAACTGGTTCTTAGAATGAGACCCAACCTTTGGGTTCCTTTTTGCTGATGTTCAATCATATCCATCTTTAGATGATGGATTCAAAATTAGACATTTAAAGCTGGGGATGTTTTTTCCTAACCAGACCCAGCTTTAAAACTTCTCCATAGGTTCCTGACCAAGCCGCTTTGTTCTCTTTACTTTCAGGTTACTTTACCTACATCATAAGTAGGAATGGAAACATTTTCAGTAAAAGGTAAAATTTGTGTATCAGATGACAGCGATGGAAGAGGAAAAGCCTTCTTAGGGGGGCGCTGATCAGTACAGCTGCTCTGCAGCAGTAATCCCAGCCTGCATGGAGTCGGATGTTCTCACCGTCCATGTTTGGCTTCTCCTCGGCTCTCCAGCTTCCTCCCACATTCCAATTCATGTGTGTCGGGTTAATTAGTCTCTCTGAATTGGCCTTAGGTATGAGAGAGAGTGTTCATGGTTCTCTGTCCTTTGTGTTTAAATGTGCCTTTGCTCAGTGACTGCTGGACAAAGGCATCAACCCTCCCACTACTGTGCAGAGATAAGCAGGTATAGACAATAGATGGGACTCAAAGACAAGCAGGCTCTATTTTTAAATGAATTTTCTTTCTCTCTGCAGATCCAATAAGTCTTAAAGTGTCGCCTCAGCAGGCTTCTCTCAGACTTTAAGAGCAAGTTTTTTTTCTCTTAATCAGTCAAGTTAAGAAAAAGCTGCAGCCTCAGATTATTATGTCTGTAAAAGGACTAAGTAGTTTATAAAAGGAAATGAATGAATGTTTCAAAATATGTTTTAGGGATATAAGAACATCAACAACTCCCAATCAGTTAATCTCTAGAAGATTTAACTTCATCAAAATTCTTTGAAAGGGAAAAAAACAAACAGAAAAGGACTTTTGTTTATGAAATCTTGTTTACAGAGGCTGAAATTCCCCTGAAATTACTCTGGTAAACCAAAGCGACTCAAACATAATGCTGGACTCCACTGGCGCTGACTCAAATGCAACAGAACCGGAGGAAAATGAGGCTAATGTGTAGCGGGGAAAGTGAAATGTGGCGTCCTCTATCTGATATCAACAATCGCTCCGGCGGTCTGACGTAACACAAACACCATTCAGCTTTGCTGGAGCCATTAAGCGCGGTGGAATGTCCAGAGAGCCGGGCTTCACACCCAAACCCGCTGCTCCTCCTATCAGCTGTGGAAACGGGTGCTTTCTTTTCCCCCCCCCCACTTCTTTCAGCACCGCTCTGACAGAACGGGCTCTGTGCCACAAACCCCACAGAGGTAAGACCAGATTTCCTGTCCAGAGAGCAGAGGGGAGTGATGATGATGATGATGATGATGATGGGGAGGATCATAAACTACAGCAGCTCTAAAATGCCTTAATGCTGAGAGTGACCACCTGAAAACCGACTGTTTGTTTCAAATGTGAAATAAGAAACTTTCCATAACTTTGGGGGAGACGTTTCTCAAACTTCACCTCTAACCAGTTATTGAAGCAAAAATAATCAGTTCAACTATCCACTAAATCTTAGAGTTATCCCACATATTCACGCCACACTACATACCACACTTTCCCATTTGGTATTTATTACATACCAGTGATATTAAAAAAAAATAGTAAGACTGGTTTTGCTGGAAACATTTCCAAGCAGCTAAACTTGTATTCCGTGTTAAAAAGATAAAGGTGCAAAGCTTTCGTTCTTCTAAAGAACCAAGAAATGTCTTCTTGTTCTTGAGGTGACTAAACAAGAAAAAGGTTTGCTTTGCCTCGGAGGAGGATTTCAGCTGCTGCACTCATAGAAAACTCATCCCCTGTGGCCAATGTCACACCCGCAAAGAAAACACCACAGAAACTCGATGGTAGTGGAGGCGTTTCTTGGACTGATAGGGAGGAGGGGGGGCACTTAAAAGACGTTTCACACAAATTTTCTGTTTCTTCCAGCTGATCCTAAAACTATTCGTTGCATAACAGATAATTGGACAAATTTCCACACCTGAAATCATGTAAAAACCAAAAACAAAAGAGAAAAATAGTCTGTTTTTCTACTTAACACCACCACACCGTCTGACCATCACATGACTCTTCTCAGACACTATAGGGAATAAAATCCTGCCAAGGCGTTGACCAGCAGTTGAAAACCCCACCGAGAAAAAGCTGTGAGAACAGAACGATGTCATTTTGTTCTTGTGGCTGAGAGAGAGATGGTGTTACATTGGGTCAGCTGACCAGCAGTGCGCAATGATAGAGGTTAATACATCTGGCATCTTATTTAAAGGACTTAACACTAAATAAAATGTATGGCTGAAAGTGAGCTAGGATGGAAACAGTGAGCCAGCAGTGATGGTTTCAGGCCGAGCTGATGCTTCATGGTGGCTCTATTGGCCCTCGAAATGAAACCAAGATAAGAGCGGCGCTACTGTGACCCTCTCTATCCCTCCCTGGAGCTTTTGTTTCCTCCTGACCACTCTCACATGCTCTTATCTACCCTCTTGTAGCTGGTGATAAGCAGGACAATGATGGCAGCTAGCCTGCAATAAGAGACGGAGTGATTGATCACCCGGACGTAAAGATAACGGGACCGCCGAGACTCTGCACACCAGCAAACCTTCAACCAGGCTTTATTGTGAACAACGTGGAGATGAGATGTTTACCTGCTGTGATCGTGTCTCTGTCCTTCAAGCTCTGCTGCTTCACAGTGGACCGCAGCTGGATTTCAAATCTCCTGAAGAAGCCTTCCTTCGGCTTCCATAAGGACTGCAGCATGAGGGGCCTCTCATTGTCCCCCACCACCCTGAAGCACTCCCTCTTCCACTGGTTATCAGCCCCCGTCTGACCGATCACATCACACAGCAGGTAGTCATTGGCGTCTTCTTTTTCCAGACAGTACCTGAAAGAAAAAAAGCACATGGTTCAGGCAGCAGGACTGAGGAGGGGACAGCGACTTTGGGGGTTTAGGCTTTGGATAGATCTATGCTAGAAAAATTAAAGTCGTAGGGAAGCGGCTGTTCCAACATTTGCATTTCCGAATTCTCCCGAGTGGTGCCCGACTTTAAAGGAGTGAATAAAGTGAATGTGATTGGTCCTTTATCAAGGGGGCGAGATGTGGTGGCTCACAAGCAAGTTTGATTGTGGCCGCTTTGTCGGAAGCATCTTGCTAACTAGTTAGCAAGTTAGTGCTAGTAGGTTCCCAATGAGAAATTACATTTGGACCCAGTAGCATTTAGCAACGACGCTGTCAAGGAACGCTACTGACAGCGGAAACATGCAAGAGGAGGAGATTTTTGTGTCCGAGGTCATGAATGAGTCTCCTTTGTAGGGCTGGGCGATAATTCAATAACGATATATATCGATCGATAGACGTGTGGCGCAATAGAAAAAAAGAGGGTCGATAAAAGTTCGATAAAAAAGAAACGCTGTTTTCCTTCCTTCTCATTGTAGCCTAGCATGTAGGTTTATGCTAGTCCCTACTTCCTCCCAACCAATCACAATCCAGTTATCCTCTCCATCATTGACCGGTTCTCCAAG